AATATAAAAAGAAATTTGTCATTTCGGGGGACCTGTTTTTTTTTTGAAACGTTGTAGTTTAGGAACTTCAGACATCCAGGGTTGCTACTTGACAAAGGGAATTACGTATATGATATATACCCTTATACATGAAAGAGACCCAATTCCTTGCAGAACTACATACATAGAATATAGGTCCCCAGTGAACATATTCATCATTTTTTTGAGGATCACCACCCAATTCCATGGTTTTCATTGCAAAAGAGTTTTTTTTTCATAGTTCTACGACACCAGTCGTGGGGGGTACCCTTCGGTGAGCCACAAAAATTCAATTTTTTTAAACAGTACAATATAAAAAGAAATGTCATTTCGGGTGACCTGTGTTTTTGTTGAAACGTTGTAGTTTAGGAACTTCAGACATCCAGGGTTGCTGCTTGCCAAAGGGAATTACATATATGATATATACCCTTATACATGAAAGAGACCCAATTCCTTGCAGAACTACATACGTAGAATATAGGTCCCCAGTGAACATATTCATCATTTTTTTGAGGATCACCACCCAATTCCATTGGTTTTCATTGCAAACTAGTTTTTTTTAATCATAGTTCTACGACACCAGTCGTGGGGGGGTACCCTTCGGTGAGCCACAAAAATTCAATTTTTTAAAACAGTACAATATAAAAAGAAATGTCATTTCGGGTGACCTGTGTTTTTGTTGAAACGTTGTAGTTTAGGAACTTCAGACATCCAGGGTTGCTACTTGCCAAAGTGAATTACGTAAATAATGTATACCCTTATAAGGCCTTTATACATGAAAGAGACCCAACTCCTTGCAGAACTACATACATAGAATATAGGTCCCAAGTGAAAATATTCATCAGTTTTTTGAGGAACACCACCCAATTCCATTGGTTTTCATTGCAAAATATTTTTTTTTCATAGTTCTACGACACCAGTCGTGGGGGGTACCCTTCGGTGAGCCTGAAAAACTCATTTTTTTAATACAATATAAAAAAAAAATGTCATTTCGGGTGACCTGTGTTTTTGTTGAAACGTTGTAGTTTAGGAACTTCAGACATCCAGGGTTGCTACTCCCCAAAGGGAATTACATATATGATATATACCCTTATACATGAAAGAGACCCAATTCCTTGCAGAACTACATACATAGAATATAGGTCCCCAGTGAACATATTCATCATTTTTTTGAGGATCACCACCTAATTCCATTGGTTTTCATTGCATTTTTTTTTTGGTCATAGTTCTACGACACCAGTCGTGGGGGGGTACCCTTCGGTGAGCCTGAAAAAATCATTTTTTGAATGCAATATAAAAAGAAATGTCATTTCGGGTGACCTGTGTTTTTGTTGAAACGTTGTAGTTTAGGAACTTCAGACATCCAGGGTTGCTACTCCCCAAAGGGAATTACATATATGATATATACCCTTATACATGAAAGAGACCCAATTCCTTGCAGAACTACATACATAGAATATAGGTCCCCAGTGAACATATTAATCATTTTTTTGAGGATCACCACCCAATTCCATTGGTTTTCATTGCAAAATAGTTTTTTTTCATAGTTCTACGACACCAGTCGTGGGGGGTACCCTTCGGTGAGCCTGAAAAACTCATTTTTTTAATACAATATAAAAAGAAATTGGTCATTTCGGGGTGCCCGTTTTTTTGTTGAAACGTTGTAGTTTAGGAACTTCAGACATCCAGGGTTGCTACTTGCCAAAGGGAATTACGTATATGATATATACCCTTATACATGAAAGAGACCCAATTCCTTGCAGAACTACATACATAGAATATAGGTCCCCAGTGAACATATTCATCATTTTTTTGAGGATCACCACCCAATTCCATGGGTTTTCATTGCAAAATAGTTTTTTTTTCATAGTTCTACGACACCAGTCGTGGGGGTACCCTTCGGTGAACCTGAAAAACTCATTGTTTTAATACAATATAAAAAGAAATTGATCATTTCGGGGTGCCCGTTTTTTTGTTGAAACGTTGTAGTTTAGGAACTTCAGACATCCAGGGTTGCTACTTGACAAAGGGAATTACATATATGATATATACCCTTATACATGAAAGAGACCCAATTCCTTGCAGAACTACATACATAGAATATAGGTCCCCAGTGAACATATTAATCATTGTTTTGAGGATCACCACCCAATTCTATTGGTTTTCATTGCAAAATAGTTTTTTTTCATAGTTCTACGACACCAGTCGTGGGGGGGTACCCTTCGGTGAACCTGAAAAACTCATTGTTTTAATACAATATAAAAAGAAATTGGTCATTTCGGGTGACCTGTGTTTTTGTTGAAACGTTGTAGTTTAGGAACTTCAGACATCCAGGGTTGCTACTTGCCAAAGGGAATTACGTATATGATATATACCCTTATACATGGAAGAGACCCAATTCCTTTCAGAACTACATACATAGAATATAGGTCCCCAGTGAACATATTAATCATTTTTTTGAGGATCACCACCCAATTCCATTGGTTTTCATTGCAAAATAGTTTTTTTTCATAGTTCTACGACACCAGTCGTGGGGGGTACCTTTCGGTGAACCTGAAAAATTCATTTTTTTAATACAATATAAAAAGAAATTGGTCATTTCGGGGTGCCCGTTTTTTTGTTGAAACGTTGTAGTTTAGGAACTTCAGACATCCAGGGTTGCTACTCCCCAAAGGGAATTACATATATGATATATACCCTTATACATGAAAGAGACCCAATTCCTTGCAGAACTACATACATAGAATATAGGTCCCCAGTGAACATATTCATCATTTTTTTGAGGATCACCACCCAATTCCATTAGTTTTCATTGCAAAATAGTTTTTTTTCATAGTTCTACAAAGTTCTACAACACCAGTCGTGGGGGGTACCCTTCGGTGAACCTGAAAAATTCATTTTTTTAATACAATATTAAAGAAATTGGTCATTTCGGGTGACCCGTTTTTTTGTTGAAACGTTGTAGTTTAGGAACTTCAGACATCCAGGGTTGCTACTCCCCAAAGGGAATTACATATATGATATATACCCTTATACATGAAAGAGACCCAATTCCTTGCAGAACTACATACATAGAATATAGGTCCCCAGTGAACATATTCATCAATTTTTTGAGGATCACCACCCAATTCATTGGTTTTCATTGCAAAATAGTTTTTTTCATAGTTCTACAAAGTTCTACAACACCAGTCATGGGGGGTACTCTTCTGTGAACCTGAAAAAATCATGTTTTTAAATACAATAGATCATTTCGGGGTACGTTCTAGATTAGGAACATTTCTGCTCACCAAAGCAAATTACGTACATAATATATACCCTTAGTACAGGCGGCTGCAGCAATCCAGCAAAACCTGAGAAAAAATATATTCCTGGATCAAAATGGATAGCCGGAAATATTCTATGTATAGTTTTTTTTTTCGATTCCAGAAGATGCTTTTATTCTATGTATATGTTTTTTTTACCGATTCCGGAAGATGCTTTTAGAGGCCGAAAATATCGATTCTGTATTCTATGTATGCCATCGAGATTATACTTTCAATTGATTTGAATTAGATTTAAATTGATTTCAATTTACTTTCAATTGATTTCAATTTATTTTGAATTGATTTGAAGTTACTTTGAATTGATTTCAATTTACTTTCAATTGATTTCAATTTATTTTGAACTGATTGAATTGATTTCAATTTACTTTCAATTGATTTGAATTAGGTTTAAATTGATTTCAATTTACTTTCAATTGATTTCAATTTATTTTGAATTAATTTCAATTTATTTTGAACTGATTTCAGTTTACTTTCAATTGATTTCAATTTATTTTGAATTGATTTCAATTTACTTTCAATTGATTTGAATTTACTTTCAATTGATTTGCAATTTACTTTCAATTGATTTCAATTTATTTTGAATTGATTTGAAGTTACTTTGAATTGATTTCAACTTACTTTCAAGTGATTTCAATTTCTTTTCATTTGATTTCAATTTACTTTGAGTTGATTTCAATTTACTTTCAATTGATTTGAAGTTACTTTCAATTGATTTGAAGTTACTTTCAATTGATTTGAAGTTACTTTCAAGTGATTTGAAGTTACTTTCAATTGATTTGAAGTTATTTTCAATTTTTCAATTAATTTTGAATTGATTTCAATTTACTTTCAATTGATTTGAAGTTACTTTCAATTGATTTGAAGTTACTTTGAATTGATTTCAATTTATTTTGAATTGATTTCAATTTAATTACTTTCAATTGATTTGAAGTTACTTTCAATTGAATTCAAGTTACTTTCAATTGATTTCAAGTTACTTTCAATTGATTTCAGTTTACTTGCAATTGATTTCAACTTACTTTCAAGTAAAAGAAAAAACCAATCACCTCAGGAAGCAGCTGGACACAATAGTGTACCCCCACCCTCAAACAAACCATACTATTGTGTATCATGATCATTCATGTTTTTTTTGCTTGGCTGAAACCAATCCTTTGGAAAGCCTTTGGTTTTGATTCCAAGAAAAATGAAGCTAAGTAATTAAAAGGAAACAAACTTTAGCAAAGGAAAAGGTAAAGGGAATGTTTCAAAAAAAAATCACCTCAGGAAGCAGCTGGACACAATAGTGTACCCTCAAACAAACCAGACTATTGTGGATCTCGATCATTCATGTTTTTTTTTGGTTGGCTAAAACTCATCCTTTGGAAAGCCTTTGGTTTTGATTTCAATTGATTTCAATTGATTTCAATTCATTTTCCACTGATTTTCAATTGATTTCAATTGATTTCAAATTATTTTCAATTGGTTTTCAATTTGTTTAATTAAATTGTTTTTCAATTTATATTCAATTTACTTTGAATTGATTTCAATTTAATTAATTACTGTGAATTGCTTTTCATTTGACTTCAATGCGTTTTCATTTCACATGAGTGGATTTATTTCTTAGCTTGTGAAGGCTCAGGCCCATTCTAGCCAGCTTCTTTGCATCCCATCACCTCAGCCATGGGGCAGTTCAACACTGAGATGGCCAAGCTCAGGAAGGAGTACAATTATCACCAGCTGGAATGGATGGCCCGCCTCAGGAAAATCCTGACTCTGGAGAAATTCTCTGTGGATGCTAAGGCTTGGATTTGTTTTTTGTTTCCCAATGGGAAATCCACTAATTTATTAGTTAAATAATTTATTAGCAAGGAATTTTATTCTTGGGTGCTTCTTTAAGCAACTCCATGAAGGTGGTGACACTGATGGCTGAGATGGCTAAGCTCAAGGTGAAGCTCAGTTGCTCTCAGGAACAGTTTGCCAACCTGCTGGACAAGTACTTCACTCAGCACCTGGTTGAGCCTGCTGATCAGGATGCTGTGCCTGATTTTGTGATGACCTTAGTTAGGACTAAGCTTGGGCATCTCTGCAATGGCCTCAGGGCCTACCCAAGGATCACTCAGGGGCAGTGGCTTAGGATTATGATGACATCTGTTGAGGATGCTCAGGAGGGTTGTCCCTATCATCCTCAGCCTGCTACATTTGATGCTACCCTCAGCAAGTTCCAGGAGATGGAAAAGGTGTTGAATGCACAGCCTGATCATGAGGTGATGGAGGTGGCTGAGGACTCTCAAGTCTTGGACTCTCAACCTATGAGGAGTGATGATGAAGCAGCATCAGATCCACCCCCAGATGCTAAGCCCAAGTCTAAGGAGGTGGCTGATGATTCTCAGGTCTTGGACTCTCAGCCTATGAGGAGTGATGATGAAGCAGCATCAGATCCACCCTCAGATGCTGAGCAGGATTCTCAGGTCTTAGACTCCCAGCCTATGAGGAGTGATGATTCAGCATCAGATCCATCCTCAGATGCTGAGCCCAAGTCCAAGAAGGCCAAGAATGAAGAGCCCTAGAGGACTTAAGGGTGTTTCTGGTGGTGTGGGATTAGTGCTCAGCTTGGCCATAATCTTAGACTTTTGGCAATTTGGATCAATAATTAATTAATTAATCAATTAATTAATTAGCATGCTTATGCATGTTTAAGTTTTTTTTATAATTGAGTAATTAGCTAATTAATTAACCAATGAAGTTGTAGCATGTTCATATGTGCATGTCTATGTGATTCCTCAGCTTTTTAAGGCTCAAATCCTTTGCTCCATATCATCTCAGCCATGTCTTTCTTTGACTATCATGGGAAAGGCTCAGGCAAAGCTCATCCTATGTTTGGAGAGAAGCCTGCTGAGGTGCCAGATGGAGTTTTGTGGACTCAGAAGGGTGTCCAAGGGCACTGCCAGCTTCAGGCCAATGATCCACCTCAGGAACCCTCAGGCTTAGCACTCTTCAACAACTTGGACTCAGAACACATTGTGGAGTATCCTAGATACCTCAGGGAGCCTAAGGTTGACTGGCAGTGGCCACACAGTCTTCCTCAGCAGAATTCCCTGGCAATCAGGATGTAGAGACTGCTCTGTGCCTGGGTTGAACAAATGGATGATTTTTTTTGTTGGTGTGTGTGTGTGTGTTTTAGCATAGGACAATGAGCATTAATTAACTGATATAGTTATCATTTTTTCATGGACACCATTTGCAACCCTGCAGGAGCACAATGGCTGGTCTCAGGAAGTGGTTCAAAGATATTACACTGAGGTGCTCAGAATGGACCCATTGCCTTGGGCTGCATTTGTAGCTCCTCAGTTCAGAAGAGCTCAGTTCAAGCCTCCTGAGCCTGATGCACCAGCTGAATTCTCAGCAGCAACTGCTTCTTCATCAACACCAACCAAAACATCAGTTTGGAAGCCTCAGCCTATCAGGACTGCCAATGATGCTCAGGGCTATGTCAAGTCTGAGCTCCACAAGCTGAACATCAGCAATGAGATTGACAAGCTCCTGGACAGCTCAGAATCAGATGAGAAGCTCAGTGACTTGGACAGTGTACCTGACCTGATTGAGGACATGAAGTCCAAGATTCTTCTACTTGAGCAGGCACTTGAATCTCAGGAGCTCACAATGCTTAGGCTCAGGAAAGATGCTCGCAAAATGGAAGATGAGCAAGATGAGCTCAGGGCTTTGCACTCTGAGCTTCAACTGAATGTGCACAAAGCTCAGTTGTACTGGGAGCAGAAGCTGTCTCAGGATCTTGTGAATAAGGCAGCTCTGGAAGAGTTCATGGAAACTCATCAAATGAGTGAACTAGATGTCAAACAGCTGATGCAAAAATCTCTTCAGGTTGGTGAGACTAGTCACAAGCACAGGTCTCAAGACTCAGTGAACAAGCAGCCAAAGACTCAGGATGAGAAGGAAGTTGTGGAGGTATAGTTAACTCAGGTGCTCAGCAGGCTGCAGAAAAAGCTGAGAGGGAGGCTCAGGAGGCTCAGGATGCTTTAATGTCTGAGGAACTTGAAGATTTCATACAGAAGCAAGGAATCCCAAGGGAAAGGGCTATCTATTTGCTCAGCCCCCCAGCTAAGAAACAAAAAAACTCAGAATGATGAGGATGAGTAGCTGCCTCAGGCAGATGGAACATCACTGAGTGAAATCTCACTGTGCTTTTAAAATTTGCTCTCAGAAGCAATCCATGCAGCTTGAATGAAGGAAAAAAAATGTGCAGCTCTGAAGGGATGTGGAGGACTTCTTCTGCATGTTAATTGTTGGAAGTATTTGATTGCATAGTCAATTTGTTTAACACACATTGATGGGTAGAGACTTATTTTTCTGATCAATTATTCAATGGACACTATACACTGAGATTAGTGTCAAAGAGTTGTATGCTTTGCTCTCAGCTTTTTGTCCCTGACAGGACATCAGCATCCTTAGCAAGTGGGGTACCTGGTGACTACATCATCCTTCTTAGTTGTGAGCATCTTCAGTGCTGAGGAGAAGGGGAAGCCAAGGCACTGAGGTTCTACTTCATAGTGAGACTCACTATGAAGTAGAACCTCAGAATGTGAGCTACATCATCTTCTACCTCAGCTAGCTTCTCAGCTGCTTCCAACTTTGTCATGAGCAAGGCTCAGTATGCATCAGCATAGCACTATCAGCAAAAGGCATTGCCAGAAAATGTTTGGGAAAGTGGTGGATCTGGGTAAGGTTTCAATGACTAAGGTTGAACTCAGCTGAAGGAACCAACCATTTCTATAACTAACTGTTCATTAATTAATCACAATATGTTCAACTTTGATTTGGTGTCATGAGTTATGGCTTAGATTGAGCTTGTATGCAACCTTTCAGCTTCTTTGCAATGGTTCAGGTTCATTTTTGAGCTTGTGAAGGATCAAACGCAGCCAGTAGAACCTTTGCTCAGTTCCACTGCACTAACTTGTTCAGCCATGGCAATGGGGAAGCTTACTGCTCAGGAAGAGGGAAAGCTCCTTAAGTTCATCTCAGATCTTGGCATTACACCTCAGGATCCTCTTATCTTCCTCATTAGGCATGAGATCGACATGGGGGAGCATCAGGACCTCAGGTCTTCCCTTGATGAGCTGCACAAGGTGCAAGCCTGCCTCAGAGGACAGTCCCAGGGAAATGGAATCAACCTCATCAAGTGCAAGGCTGAGCTGATCAACATGCTGGCACTTGTGGAGCTCAGGCAGCATCAGTGGGTCCAGCATTGCCAGAACTTTGAGAAGCTCAGGGCTGATGTGATCAAGGAGGAGCTTGCTGAGATCAGGGACAAAGTGCTCAGCAGGATGCCCCAGCAGGTCACTGAGGACTCTCAGCATGCTGATGACTCTCAGGTCTTTGGTGACCCTCAGCAGGATGATGACTCTCAGGTCTTTGGTGACTCTCAGCAGGATGATGACTCTCAGGTCTTTGGTGACTCTCAGCAGGATGATGAAGCAGCACCAGATCCACCATCCTCAGATGCTGAGCCCAAATCCAAGAAGGCCAAGACTGGAGATGCCTAGAGGACTGAAGGGTGTTTCTGGTGGTGTGGGATTAGTGCTCAGCTTGGCCATAATCTTAGACTTTTGGCAAGTTTTATCAGTAATGTTGACATCAAATAATTTGCTAATTAGCTAACTAATTGATTAATTAATTAACCAATGAAGTTGTAGCATTTTTATATGTGCATGTCTATGTGGTTCCTCAGCTTTTTAAGGCTTGCATGAAGTTGAATTCTGCATGTCAATGTGATTCAGCAGCTCCTTGATCTCAATGTGATTAGCATCAACTCAGCTGCACTTCTTGCAAGCCATGAGTTCTCAGCACCACTGGAATTGGGAAGCAGCATCAGGCTCAGGAGATGCCAGAGGCACACACTCAGACAAGGGCTCAGGAGAAGTTGATGCTACAGGCAGATCTGGGCCCTGGGTAACTCAGGCAGTCCTCAGTACTATCCGTGATGGGATGACTTATGAAGCATCAGCAAGTGGAAAATATGCTCAGCTGAAGCCAAAACCTGATCCTCAGAAACCTTCCATGTCTCAGTTGTTTCAGGAAGCTAATCCCCAACAGGTGGTCTTTTACCCCAGGTACTTGGATGAGCCACAGTTTGACTGTGGCAAAGGCCACAAAATCTGTCTCAGCAGAATCCCTTGTCGAGAATGCAAAGTTCCTGGGTTGACTTAGACTCATGTTCTTTTTGTTTCATTAAATGTTTTTGCTCCTGATTTTTATGTGCTCATAATGCAAGTATTACTGCTAATTACAAGTACCCCAGTGACAATTCAAAACCTAAGTAAACAACATTAATTAATTATATAATAAATTACTTAGACAAATTAGCAATGACTTGGTTTCCTCATAAAATTAATCAATTACACCCTACTTGGTTGCTTCATTCAAAGCAGTTAGCATTCAGGCTCAGGGAGGATGGTCTCAGTCAGTGCTGCAGTGGTACTATGCCAGGATTCTCAGCATGGACCCCTTGCCATGGGCTACCTCAGTGATGGACAAGTATGGTAAGGCTCAGTTCATGCATGGTGCTGGCACTTCTCAGCCTTGTCCTGAGCTTCCAGGCAGACCAATGACCCCTAAGGCAAGGCCTTCTCAGGCATCCCAGGCCAAGCAAGAGAAAGGTGCTCAGTACTACTATTCTCAGCTGGACCAGATGGATCCTCATGGCAGATGCTCAGCTATGATGGAGAAGGTGGGGAATGCTCAGATGAACTGTGATTATGAGGATCTCATACCTGAGACAGATGAGATGAAAAACTGCTTAGAGTTGATGACAAAAGCTCAGAAAGGCATCAGCATGAATAGTGCCATCAAATTTCTCAAAGGTTGTGCCAATAGCAACTCTGAGAGGTACCTCAGCATGAGACAGAAAGAAAGCCCTGCTCCCAGCAGAAAGAGGCAACGGTCTCAGTAGAATCCTGAGAGCTGATGATTACTCTCAGCCTGCTGAGTCTTCTCAGAGCAACAAACAGCTTGCTGGGAACAAAAAAGTGTGCAGCTCTGAAAGGATGTCAAGGGCTTCTACTGTAATTAATTAGTTAATTGATGGCTGGAAGTATTTGGTTGCATAGTCAATTTGTTTAATTAACATACAATTATGGGTGGTTACTTAATTACTTATTCCCCACCTGCCAGGTGCGGGTTGTTAGATTTTATGTCAGTTGCCTCCTCCTCCTCCTTCTCCTCCTCCTTCTCCTCCTCCTCCTCCGCCTCCTCCTGCCTCGTCCTCCTCTCCTCCTCCTCCTCCTCGTCCTCCTTGTCATCCTTGTCGTCCTCGTCGTCCTCGTCGTCCTCGTCGTCCTCGTCGTCCTCGTCGTCCTTGCTCAACTGCGACCCGCGATCCACAGTGTTCTCTGCCGGACCTCAACCACGACCACCCACGCCCAGTGTTCCCTGCCGGACCTCAACCACGACCAGCACGCCCAGTGTTCCCTGCCGGACCTCAACCACGACCAGCCACGCCCAGTGTTCCCTGCCGGACCTCAACCACGACCATCCACGCCCAGTGTTCCCTGCC